TTAAAAATGCATATTTCAAAAAATATTCTATATAGCGCAAATACATACAGATGCAAAATTGATTGCCATGAGTTTTCAAGGTAATTTAAAGCGATTATTTATTAAATTTTTGCCATATGATTTTATCAAATAGGAAATATAATTTTGAGAAAAAACTGTTTGTGATTGATTAGGAATTTTTGTATCTTGTCTATTAATATTTAAAATTAAAAAAATGTTATTATTGTGAATATTTCGGAAACCAAACGTTCAATTGTTTTTCTATTTTCACCATTTTAATCAGAATAAATAAAATAAAATAAACTTTCTAGCTCCCATTTTTCCCTTCCATGAAAAGTTTTGAAAATAGACTAAAAAATAATACCCATGTCTCGGCGTTTTTTCAGATGACGTCATTTTTTTTAAGTGTGATCCAATAAAATGTTATCCAAGGTATATTACTATTGGACACATAATATAAGTATAGTCTAAAAAAATTTATTCACTAAATAAATAGACAATCATTAAAGATACATATTAAAATTATTTTATCGTAAGTAATATCATAAAGGCATTTAATTTTTCCGAAAAGAATCGAAAAAACACGTTGCTAAGTAATATTTTAACAAAAAGCATGAGTGCTGGTGGCAACAAAAATCCGAGTCGAAGAGGAGGATTTTTGCACCTGCACGAATGCATTTTGTTAAAAAATATTACTTAGCATTGAGTTTTTTCGATTTTTTTCACAGGAAAAATTAGATGCCCGAATGGTATTTGACAAGACTATTTCATGAGTAACAGTTAACAATTAAAATATAAATTGCAATTTTTGGTGACAACAGCTGTCAAGTTTTGCCGCGTTTTTTCATCTAGAAACCATTTGTAATTCAAAATTGCGCGTTTGTGATTGGTGGAAATTAAGACTAGGGAAATAGTCATTTATAATCCAATCAAGCCTATTTTTCTAAAATATTTTTAACAAAATGTCACTTTCGGTTTGACCAGAATTGACATCAACTTTGTTATTTCAAATAGAACACCCCAAATAATTTTACATTTTTAAATTCTACATAAAATTCTAATTAAAAGTACTATACTATGTCCTATACCTAAAGTGAATAGTTTTTGAGTTATTAATTTTTTTCGTTAAAATTTAACAAATGCGCGTCAATTACAAATAGCCTATAACTTTTGATATGTCAAACCGAAAGTGGCATTTTGTTTAAAATATTTTAGAAAAATAGACTTAAGCTTAATTTTCAGGTATCCGTTTGTCCGTCAGCCCGTTCATCCGGGAGCGCTCTTATTGGTCCAATTATAATTCGAAAATTATGACATTTTATCGGTCTGTAAAGTTTCAACTTCGTACGTCTGACAGAGAAAGGTTATAGTTATTTACGATATAAGTGGGATAAGAGCTTTATTAACGTACGCATGCGAAATTTGGGCAATCGCAAAAGTACGTTAATAAAGCGTATACACGTATATTGTACAAATTTTTATCTACGCCTCTAAATGAAAAAATAAACGGTAATTATTTTTGTCTAAGACTTAATTTAGGGTTATTTTGACATTTTGACATTTTGACTTTTTTATTTGATTGGTTAAAAGCAGAGAAAAACGCGTGCGTTAATGAACTTCTTATCTCACTCAAAATGAGTGGGATAAGAAGTTCTTATCTCACTGGCGTAGATAAAATAATTTTAACTCATCCGTCACTACACATCTGTTTTTGACGCCTAACGTTATTTTAAGATAATTTATTTTCAAATATTTTTATATTTTTTCAATAAGATTGTAAAACGGAAATATTACGTTCGTTATGTGAATAATGTTTTACTGTTAAGTTTTTATTTAATAAGAATAACGGAAAAAAAGAAAGGACAAACAAAAAAAAATTAAAACTAGAACTAAAAGGACCTGCTTTTTTAAAACTATACATTTTAATGTATATTAGGGCTATATTTACCTACCTTTAAATTTATTAGACAGCTAACTGTTAAAGTTACAATTGTTGACATAATTGTAACTATGACAATTAAGCATTAGGTAAATTTAGTAAGTGAATATACTGACACTTAATTTCTATTTGTTGCAAAATCAATCCGTCATTAAAAAACGTATGCATGAAAATTAGAACATTTCTTATCGGACGATTTTATTGAAAAACTGACATACGGATGACGGACAAACGGATACATGAAAATTAAGCTTTAAGCTTAATTTTCATGCATACGTTTGTCCATTATCCGTTTGTCCGTTTTTCAATAAAATCGTCCGACAAGAAATGTTCTAATTTTCATGCATACGTTTTTTAATGACGTTTAACGGATTGATTTGGCGACAAATATAAATTAAGGACCAGTATATTGACTTTACTAATGCTTAATTGTCATAGTTACAATTATGTCAACAATTGTAACTTTAACAGTTAGCTGTCTAATAAATTTAAAGGTAGGTAAATATACCATTTAAAAAGAATATACTAGCCTTAATATACATTAAAATGTATAGTTTTAAGAAAGCAGGTCCTTTTAGTTCTGGTTTTAATATTTGTTTGTTTGTCTTTTCTTTTTTTCCGTTATTCTTATTAACAAAACAGTAGAACACGTCAAAAACATATGTGTAGTGACGGATGAGTTAAAATTATTTTAACTTTCTCCGTCAGACGTACGAAGTTGAAACTTGACGGACCGATAAAATGTCATAATTTTCGAATTATATTTGGACCAATAAGAACGCTCCCGGATGCTCGGACTAACGGACAAACGGATACATGAAAATTAAGCTTTAAATGGAATATAAACGCTTTTAAAATTTCAAATGGACCACGAATGTGAAACACCCTGTATATCAAGTGGTGTTTTTTAGGTTCTAATACCACTATAGATTCTAAAGCAATGTATAATCGTTAAACTAAAAGACCAACATTTCTTTCCAACATATATTGAATATAAAATAAATACAAATCTGTTGTTGTATTTAAAAAAAAATCACAAATTATTTTTTATTAATTTAAAAAAGATAAAATTATTATTTTCTTTATGTATAATTTTTGTACTATTTAAAAACAATATTTGAAGAAAAAAATGATTTATAACAAAATAGAGAATTAAAAATCTGTATAGGTTTAAATTATAAGAATGGCTGTATAAAAAATTTAAATGATGTGATTTCGTGAAACGGTAAGACACGGGTTTTAATCTTTATTTTTATAATCTAGTAAAGTTTTTCATGGGAGGAAAATCGTGTTGAACTGTGTAATAACAGAGTTAGCAATGGTGAGCAGATAACTTTGGACACGGTGTTTATTTTCTTAATAAAATATTTTAACTTAGGATCATTGGGTACAAATTAAATTAACAATTAACTCTAAAAAATCATGTTCCAAACGAAATAAAATCGTTTTTATCCAAATTTCGGCAATTTTCAATATTGAAAGTGCTGATAAGCAAACATTTTTTGTTCGATTTAATTAAAACTTAATTTTTTGTTTTAGGTTCTACTTTATTGTCAAAATGGGATTTAAAACAACTGCGCGTGTCAAAAGTTATATTTACAGACATTTTCGCCCCTGGCGTTTTTACGACTTAACTAGTACTTACATAATAATTATAAATAAATTCTGTGAAAAGTAATGAATTAAAATATGTATTTATACGAGTTTTAAAACAAAAAATGACAGTTTCAAAAAGTATACAAAACGTTCTTGCATGAGTCACTGCTAAAATAAATGCCAAAACATGATTTTGTAGAAGAATTATTAGATAATTAAACAATTTATAAATTACTTTTGTTTGCAGATTTCTTTAAGGAGTAGTTAACGCGCCAGGAACAGATATGACCCTAACTACTAATATTGACACGCGCGGTTGATTTAAGTTTCATTTCGACAATTTTTATTTGATTGCGTTGAAATGTTAAAAAAATAAAGTACATATATGAAGCTTTAAAGTTGCCGAATTTTGGCTGAAAAAGATTTAATTTAGTTAAAAACATGCGTTTTAAAGGGAATATCTTTATGGATGTGTATAATTTAATTTGTATATTTAGGAATTTGAATGTTTGCATATATCTAAAAAAAACATACAACAATATCGCAAAATAAGAGCTGATTAAACAAAATGGTAATTTTAGAAATTAGCGCACGCAAACCACCCCAAAAAGTTGTTGGCAAACATTCCATTATTGTGTTTAATTTGACTTGGAATGACAATTTTAATGTTTTATTAAATTTAAACCACCAATGGTGGTAATGTTACTGACAAATTGGTGACGTGGGATTAATATTTTTCTAAATATACTATTAAATTTAAATTAACATAAGTACTTTTTAATGAAAAAAAGAGTTAAGATAGACCTAGACAAAATAAATTAAACAAGATTTAAAATTTAATCTGATATACCTATAGGTAAACATGTTATTTAAAATTTAAGAAGTTAATTAGTTAACAATATAATCTTTTCATGCTTTATTTTTATTATCACTTAACATTTAAAATATAAAATGAGAATAAAAATATATAAATAATTTATTTGGTATTTAATTTACTTGCCAATAAACCTTCTTATGCAATGTAATGAAAATGAAGACATATATTTTGTACTGACCCCAAATTAATTAAATACTACAAGGTTCTTTTTGAATTTTTAACAATTTTTTAAATTTATATTATTTCTTTTAATTTAGAAAAAATAATTAGTAACAAATTATGTAAACAATTAAATATATTTTTTGTTATCAGATTTGTTAGTTACCCGTTATAATTTATGGTAACAATGCATTGTTTGTTTAAATTTTTATAATTATTATTTTACAAAAGATTTGCCGATAGTAGATAAATAAAAAACAGCCCAATTTAAACCCACAAATATTTTTAAAAATAAATAATTTCAGCCTACTAATCACAAAATACCATACTATTTATGATTTAAAAAAAGAAAGCTACTTTTACTTTATTCTTTCATTTACAAATAAAATATATCCTATAAAACATATTTTAATATAAATGTTTACTTACTTTAATTATTTATTAATTCCACACAAACATAATAGCATCGTAATATGATTATATTATTACTTCACTAAACTTAAATTTAAATTTTTGGTCAACGCTGCACTACAATTTTAAGCAGAACAACATTCACTTCCATTCAATGAATGTTAACTTTTGCCACGCATATCGTTTTATACTTTGCATGGCATTGGGCTCCACTACTATACCTGAGGTATGCTTATAATTTTAGTGATTGAAGTTAATGGCAGTATTATTTTATGTAAATACAGGGTGGGAAAAGGATTGGTATGTTTTTAAAAGTACTCGGCCACTAGGCAGGTAGGGCCAACATTGAGCTGTGAACGCTTACGACAGTTTTGTGACTGAGTTTTGCCTTATGTTTGACATTTGACACTAAATGTCAAATTTTTACTTTTGACATTTAATTAAATGCTCGTAATCTGTTGTGCTTCCAGCAAGATGGGGCCTCGGCACACATAGCCAATATGTGATTTAGTCTTCTCCGAGGCCTGTTTTGCGATTGGAGACGTAGTCCCTAGTCTCCTAATTTGTCATAATGTGATTTTTTTGGGCATGCCTGAAAGGAATTTAAGGAGTCGATCCGTTAAAAAATTAATGTGATCAACAGAGATGTAGTGGGATAGTCGAGATCAATTTTGGAGAATATGCTTTCTAAATGTGTTAATGTTAATAGGCATTATTTACGTTAAATTATATATTTCAATAAATATTATTCAATATTATTCAATTATTCAATAGCAAAAATTACAGTTTTTGTTAAATCAGTTCCTGTGAGCCACCCTGTAGGTAGGTAGGAAAAAATACATGTAGTATGTTTTACTTTTTTTGTTACTTTGTCTTTCCAATTTAACTTCTTATCTTTTTTAGGTAGGTACTATGATATAAAATAATTACAAAACTTAAACGTACCTATATCCTCGCTAAAAAAGTTTACTTCTGCATGATGGCTTAACAATAATTTAACGATATTGTAGTGGTGTAAAACCTCTCCAATTGTTTATGTTAGTATCAGCCCCATGGGCGAATTTAGGCATGGGCAAAAAAATTATATGGGTGATTCTACAGAAGTTGGGCAACTTTTGACCTCATTTTGTTTATATAGTTTTCGGAGAAAATTAAACAGTAGGTATTTTGTTAAAAGAACATAGATAATATTTATTATATTGTTATATTTATTATATTATTATAAATATACTGTTCCAGACCGGGCCAGTCACTTTTTCAAACAGTTTCTGAAATATCTGTGTTTTCTAAATTTGAATGCAAGGAAAGTGACGATTATACCAGGGTACTAATTAAATACATAATTTATTGGAAAATATAAGATTTATTGCAACTTAGCAAGCATAATATACATTAAACATCTTAAATTCAAATAATACCACACATCAGTGGCGGCTGGTGGATTTTGGGTATACCGATATCTCAATTATTAGATATGGGATCCACACCAAATTTATATGAATTTATAATGACATTAAATAAACAAGTTCTGCGCAAGCAGAATTTAAATTGAAGTTTGCGAAAAAAAGATAACCGAAACATCGTACATGGAACTGACGACACGGTACTGATGAATGGGATACAAATTTGAGATTATAATTCGGAATTAAGTATTTTACTGATATTTTTTATTAGAGGGTGCTACTTATCAACAAATCACATATAGCCTTATATAAATTACAATGAAAAATATATACGTAAGAAAATAACTACTCACCGCAGTACTCAAATTTTGAGTGGAACTATACGTGCATTCACCACAACTTCGCCGCTTGCATTGTTTTCAAGATGACTGTCGTGCAAAGGGCGGGCTCTGTAGGTAATTTTTTTACCAACACTTGAGTTAAAACAAGGAATTGACGTTTAAACTTCGATATTTCGCAGGAATTTTGAATTTCAACATTGGACACAGAACTGACGGGTAAAAGTGAGTACAAAGATTATCATTTTTTTTTAAATTGCTATTATTCGAATCTATGATCAAATATGAAAAATACATTATTTAATGTTTTATAGTTTGTAGTGAAATTGAAAAATTTAAGATAAATTGAATATATTTTAAAATAAAATCACTAAAATATTTGATTCAGGAGTTGTGTCACGCCAGAGTACTGATGTTTTGAATATTTATTATGTCTTCCTACAAACGTGCTTTTGAAAAAATACACAAAAAATATTAAAATACCTACTTTATTGACTGATGACATCAAGTTGTCCAACTTTTGTAGAATTACCCATATATATATATATAATGAAAACAACATATGAGTATGAGTATGAGTATGAGAACGTATGGCAAGCCCCAGATATATTGTCATCCACTGATCTCCCGGGGTTATATTACCCCCTTTCCGTTCTCCTGCGTATCCCGCCAAATCACAGCATTACCTGTGTTTGTTGGATCCGAAGTTTTTACGCCGGCTGGTAGATCCACCCTAGGAGTTCGTGTCAAAGGTTAAGGCAGCTCCCGGGATTTTTGTCAGCCGGGTCGGGCCATACGTCCAGTTTAGGAAGGGCTAAGTACAATCCGGAATCGTCCTAAACCAGGGCTTTAGTAATAACCCCATTCATTTGGTATTCCTGAATGGGGGTGGGTGGATTAGTATGCTGCTAGCGCCTTTCCTTGATGGTGTACTTCTTGATAGCCGCTTTAGAATTGTTTGCCCCCCTGTGCGTTATTGAGTCGTATCTTCCGAACCGAAGTGTTGCCGGCCGCACCCCGCCGTAATATTGCCCTCTGACTATGTGGAAATACGTTTAACCTACTGGAATTGTCGACCCTCGAATTATTTTTTTCCCCCTGTGCATGATCCCAGTGATTCTTAGAACGCTTTACTTTATTTATGAACGGAAGACGCGGAATTGTCGACCCTCGAATTATTTATTTTTTCCCACTGTGCGTACGCTTACTTAACGGTTTTTACTTAATTTATGACCCCTTACGTCTTCATAATCTATAGATGTAAACATAAATAAATAGTTTCTTTAGGATGGTTTCTTTTGCCTAATGTTTATCGTAACTTGAGTGATTAATGGCTTCCTATGTGTCCTCGTGTTTATCGTTTTTTTTACTGTTTCATTTGCATGAGAATCTTCTAAATTGTTTGCGACTAATTAATTTTACCTGAAGAATTATTGTTAGTTAAAGGTTGCGTATTTCGAATTAACTAGTATTAATATTATTGGGTGGTCATGTTCATGCAATTTGGTAGCTACTTATCTAGTTTATGCAGACTTGGACTTCGGGATATTGCCAGGCAGTGTGCTAAAATTGATCCTTATCGTATGCCGCACGTGTCGTAGCCCAGAAAATTTTCATTGGAACTGATCGTCTCTCTCACACCTTTTAATCAGGTCAAACACTTGAGGACAGCAATTGTTGCACTTGTTTGGTTATTATTTATTTATTTATTTATTACCGATTACCGGTATTTCCGCAAACTTAGATTCACTTTGATACTTTACTACGTTTGTATCGTATACGCTGCTGCGTAACTATCTTTAAGCATCCTTACCCTTCGAGAGTCAAGACGCAACTATATATATATATATATAATGAAAACAACATATTTTAAAAATATTATTTTTATAGATTATTTAAAGTAAACGCTCTACAATTATTTTATAATAAATCTACTATTTTAAAAGTTATTCTTGAAAGTCTTATAACGTTTTGTTATAAGTCTGATAGTTTTAGCGGAAAAGTAAGATAAACTTGAAATTTACTATAAATGTAATTTTACATTTATGGCAAATTTAAAGTTTTTCTTAATTTTTCGCTAAAACTATCAGACATAGGTAACAAAATGTTATAGAACTTTGGTAGATCATTTTATTTTTCAAAAAATTATGGAATTTTATAATTTTTAAAACTAAAATACCCTCGAAAAATCCTACTAATTATTTTCAAGAAACTATCAATTTTATTGAAAAAAACATTTTATACCAGTAAATCATTAATAAAACATTAAAAAAATATTGACATATTTTTATACAACATAAAATGATCTACAAAAAATGTATGATCATTGTCAACATTTTGTTACAAGTCTGATGGTTTTAGCGGGAAAGTAAGAAAAACTTAAAATTTGTTACGAATTTGTCTTAAGTCTTAAATAACTTTTTAACAAGTAGATTTATCATAAAATAATAAGTAAACTATATTGTGGAGCGTTTAATTCTCTAAAATAAAAGTTTTTATGATTTTAGTCCATTAATCCGTTAAGGAGTTATATAATTCCAAAAAAATACCTACTCAATTTAAATGTAAAATCGCGATTAGCAACCAATATTATTAATGGGTAATATTTTAATATTACTAGCCTCATTAAATTTTATAGAAAAAATTAGTCTATTTTTGTTAATCAGTGTAATATACTGCACAATAAAATAATATTTTTTACATATTTTTAGGCCGCTAGCAGCTAAACAAAGAAATTTTTATTTAGGTAAGTTCGGTTTGCATTGTACAGGTTTCATCGAGACACCGGTGGTATACAAGGCCTTGTAAAAATCCTAGGATGTTTTATTTATATTATTTATTTATTTGGTAATTTATTTTATTTTAAGAATAAGTGTTATTTTTTTCTTGTTTTTTTTTAATTATTGACGAAGAATTTGTTGTTTTGTTATATATAAATATATATTTATTGATAGGCCCCCAAAGAGCTTTAGCCAGGGCCCCCAAATTTAACGGTCCGCCCCTGATCAGCCCCATAATGTACAAAAATCTTTAGGTTACTTTTTTTTTAAATTGTTTACCTAGTTAACTGACAACCCAATAGCAGAAACAGTACCGTTAACCTAATAAAATAGCATATTGGTAACAGCTATAATATAAATATTATCACACTGCAGTGCAGTGCATTGTAAAATTCAAAATTTGAACCAAAGAACCCATTAATTAGTAAATAAACAACACAAACTATTTCTTCAAAATGTATTGTTAAGTAATGGCATGTTAATTACTACAATATACGCTATTTAGCTATTAGGACTTTAACAGGTCAAATTACATTGAAAACAATAGTGACCCTAAATGGACATTGTTTCTGTATTTTTTATTATCTACGCTCACTACCAAAGTATTCGATTATCTCCTAGGCTGTAAAAGGTGAAGTTTTTTACATTCTAGTCTGTAAAAGACTTGTTCGAACCAATCAACAAATTTGATAACTACTAACACATCTGAAGCTAATCTAAATTCGCTTATATATACTTTTAATAATTGTTATTATAATTGCTTAAGCGAATTCGCTCAATTATAGTCCTTCGCTTACGTGTTGGACTTCAAAATTTGAGCTCGGCACAAAAAGACTCACTTCTCAGCCTTATCACATAAATAACTATTATCTTCAAGCGTTCTATAATTTAAGCTTACTACCAAAGTATTCGATTATCTCCAAGGCTGTAAAATAATTTAGATCAATCAGGTGAAGTTTTTTTACATCTTAGCCTGTAAAAAACTTTTAGGACCAATCAAAAAATTCTAAAAGCTATCTAACATCACTTTATACTTTTAATAATTGTTATTATAATTGTAAGTACGTTTTATGTTTCGTTTAGCAAATAACTGTGCCTTGAAGATAATATGTTGTATGCCATTCAGATAAAAAGTGTATTTTTATGCTTCGCTCAATTGTAGGACTCCGCTTGGCTTTTAACCTTTGAGCTAAGCACAAAAGGACTCACTTTTCAGCCTATTATCTTTAAGGCATAATTATACTCAATAATATAGTACAGATTAAAAATAATTTAAAAATTGATAAAAAGAAGCAATAATAATTAAAAAAAAATCATCTCCTTTTGAAAATCTTGATTGCCCAGTAATTGGGACCACTTGGGCATCTCTTTTAACGATAGTTAAAATGACAGCTTGTCCAAAATGGACAAGTTTGTTGTTTGACCGTGTCTAATAATCGTGCAGGTAAGTTATGTTTTATGTGTAAAACTTGTGTATTAATCTGTGTAATAATATGTGTAATAAAAGCTGCTCTGCAATCCTCTATGTACTTTAGTCCAGCTATTAGTTGTATGGCCTTTCTTTGGGTGGGAATGGCAAAGGTCGGGTGGGATTAAAAAGTGGTAAAATATGCGGTTTTTAGCACATTAATAGTTATACACTTTGTTAGACTGTGCAGTGCAAATGAACCTTTGCTCTATTTCTTGGCAACCGGACCAATATGGTTGTTCCATAGTAGTTCGTTATCAAGCATGTCTTCCAAAAAGATTATATTAACCACGAAAATATCATTTGTAATATTAGTTATATAACTGGATTACTATTTACCATCACTACTTTTAGTAAGTAGTGATAGTGTTAAACACACTAAATACGTGTACATAATGTGAACAAAATGTTAATTATGTTAATACAAATGAACTAGCAAAATAAAATTCCATTATTAAAGAGGGCCACTCGTTAAAAATCATTTAAAACCCGTTCGAAGGTCTTTATCAAATTTTTTAAAGTATCGGAGCTCGTTGCCATTGTTGTATTATCTGCAAAGATGGTAAAAACAGCATTTGAACTGACTTGGTAGGTCATACATCTGGATTAAAAAGAGGATTGGGTCCAAAATGTAACCGATACTCTTACTACCTGGCCTCTGTTTTACAGATAGGATTTATTATTTTTAAAGGAATTTAAAATGAATAAAATTAAGTTTAAAATTTCAAAGGTAGAATTTTTGTTTATCTAAAGCCAAATTTATCAGTGAAAATGTTGTTAGTCTCAAAATAATTAGTTATGTTAATACAGTACAGTACAGTTACAAAAAGAAAAAAATATATTTCACATTTCTCGGAAAATTATTAATAAAATGTTTTGCTTGATTTTAAACTCCCAGAATATGCGACAAATCATTTTTAGTGTAGGTGTATATGGTTCATTTTCAATTTTGATTTTTTCTGAAATTTATTTTTGATCAGTTTTTGTGCATTTATACCTATAATACCAATATTCATTTTTTTTTAAATTAACACAAATTATTTTTATCAAAAAAATTTTAGTCCAAGTTTTCAGAAAAATTAAAATTGCAAAGTAGCCATAGTTTTACTCAATGTATCCAATTATAAATTTAGGGTCCTACAATTTGCCATCTAAACCCCTACATTTTTTACGTCAAATTGTGAACAAACTGTATTTTCTTTTTAATAAACTTTCATGACTGGTTTTTCATTGTACGCCCGACTTTTCTGCAAATAAAAAAGCAAAATAACATTTCAACTACCTATGTTATTTTCGAAAAATTATTGATCCAGAATTTTGGCCCAATGGAAATGTAAATTATTAATTTTTATAGATTAAAAAATTATGTTTTGTTTCCGTACTCCATAAATAATTTTATTTTAGATAATGTAAGTCTTATTAAAGATTTGGAAGATTCGGAGATCATATTTATTACATTACAAATAAAGCTCTAAGTATGCTTGGGTTTGTAAAACGCAATTTAAAAGATTTTAATAATATGCATTGTATATTAAATGTTTATATGTCGTTCGTGCGAAGTGTGTTGTATGGTCTCCTTTTTTTAAGTATATACAAATAATTGAAAGAGTCCAAAATAAATCTTTGCGATTTTGTGCCTTTAAGTTAAATATAAGTACCGATAACCTTGACTACATCTTTATTAGAAATATTACTAATTTAAGATTATTAAGTCAAATAAGAATAGAGCACGGTCTTGTGTTTCTTTATAAAATATTAAATAATTTCATTAACAGTTGCTTAATCAAATAAATTTTAAAGTGCCACAAAGACAAACAAGACAAAATAATTTATTTTATCTAAAAACATATAGAAAAGAGTATGCAAAACGTAACTCGCTTAATCGCATATGTGCTGATGCAAATCAATTTGATTTGACTTTTTTAATGGCAGTTTAGGGACATTTAAACACAACATTGGAGATAAGTTACTTAATTATAATCTATAAATATCATTTTTGTAAAAGTATATAAATATTTTGTATCCGTCAATAAAGTTATTATTATAAAAAAGAGTCAATTCAGGACTCCTGCAACTATGGAATATTCTTTATACGTAAAATTATTGCCCAAATATGATTGCCACTTGTAGGCTAGGCAACGAGCCATAATAGCTAGATTCTGTAACAAGTTTGGAATACAGCATATTCCGCTTGAGTGAAAAATTTGTTACACGAGCCGAAGGCGAGTTTGACGGTTTCACGAGGGCGAAATATGTAATTCCAAATGTGTGTCACACTATAAACCGCCCTGTATAAAAGTTGTTACATAATAAACACATAGATGTCGTCACCAGTGTTTATTCCGTCATCCGGTGATAGAATGAATTTATTCTGTAACACTTTAAGGAAAATATGAAATTCAACATTAAAATATTAAATCGGTCATATTCCGTAATAGCAGTAGAAAAACATACATTCCAAAAACACCATAGCAGTGAAAACGAATATAGCGAACGAAACGAGGTTTAAGAATCATGACGTAACATTCTCAAGTTCATACACAGCAAAATAATACCAAATGGGGTTCGACTATTGCCGGTATGACTATTTAGCGTAAACAACGCTATAAACACAATATAACTTAAAGTAATATTTGAACCTATAATCAAAGTATCATTAAAACAATAATTGTTGTTATTAAAAAAAACACGATTTGTTAATTATAAAATCAATCAAATATTGCCATCAAAGGAAATATAATACAATTAAAAAACCTTAATAATCGCATAAAATTAAAACAATTATAATAAAATTGTAAATTATAATCATAAATTCATAAATAAATTAAAACACATGGTCCAGCTATAAGCACATTGTTTATCATTTAATAAAAATAAGGGATCTGCAAGCTTTTTTCCCGACAAGTTTCCCAATATTTTCAAACTCTTGTTGCTCGTCAGAAAACCTTTTATACTGCTTAAATAACAACAATCTGTGCTTTGAAATCTCAAAAATTCTTATCCCATCCAAATCATTTGCAGAACACAAATATTCATCTACTGCGTTTCTATCTTCGTTTAGTCGTGAGTATTTTGATGCTTCCAGTTTTGGGGTACATTTTTCTATTGGGAACCACTGGTATGTTTCAGGGCAGAGTAGATATGATGGGCTGAGCTTGCTTTTGTACCGCATTTTTAGGCACGTGTGGATGTAAAATCCCATGTAATAGTATTTTATGGCAGGAACTAGGGTGTTGAGAGATCTTGTGAAATAAAGTTCACTAAAAATTAAAAAAAAAATAATTTTAATTTGAGCGTAAAATATAATTAATTACCTAATTATAAATTTGTAGAATAACAAAATACAGGATTATATAAAAAAACAACAATTATAATAGGTTATGAAAGGTATAATAAATATATCATTATATGTTCGTATTATTTGAGAAGTTAGGTATACCTAATTGGGTCGTTTTTAAAAAACACCCGCCTTCCGCTGTCCGTAGTTTGAATTCCAATAACTTTGTTAAAAATTATCGGATCTTATTGATTTAAAAACCAAGTGAAAGCCTAACAAGCCCTTAGTAAACTCTTTCAGAAAATGTTTGTTTAGTTATTTCAGAATAATTTTTTTTTAATTTTGAAACTTGTGAAACACACATTTTCGCATGTCCCATTAGCGTTTTATAAAACTTACATACATGTTTTTTTTTTAAATATTGAATAACCAGAACTTTGTGTTGCGTTATAGCAATCCATAAAATCCTTGGTTAATACAGTAAACAATATATATATATATATATAAATTAATTAATTTTAATATACTTTTTTAAATTTGACTCATGTCCCAGACATTTTTTCCGTTGCGTTACGTCCGTCGCGTTACCGATAGAATATTAAAAAAAAACATATATATGGCAACTTTTTTGGCACTCACATGATCAACAAATGATGTTCGGACGTACACATTACCCATCTGAATTTATTTATTCAATCAGGAAAAAGATATCGGTTGAAACAGGTGCGGTTAACGCGAATGTAATAATTGTTTGTCCGCTAAGTTGGTCAAAAAAAAATAAGGTAAGAAAAAATACTATTTTTCATGTTTATGTGTATTTTAGGGCACTAAAGCTCATTGAGAGTAATTAATGACGGCAATGTCTTATTATTATTTTTTAAATATGGTTTTCAAAACTTTTTCCACTGCGTTACCGAGTCCATTATGTTACCTTATGGTAACGCAATGGAATTTAGGGTAACGCAATAGAATTTTTCGACAACAAAGTGGATATTTACCGTCGCTTTTATTAAAAGTAGTTTATGATAAACCAATTTAAAATTATTTGTGATTACAACTCATGATATAGATTACATCCAAGGGAAAATTCCACGCAATATAAAAGTACTAAAAAGGACTAAAGACCTTCACCAGCTTATAGTCAAAGAAAAAGGGTGTCTACAGTTTAGAAATCTAAGTTGCAAGTAAGCACCACTACAAGGGATTTTGTTTATGCATTACTCTTAAATCGTACCAACCTATATAGTTTTTTTTTACGTTATCTGATTAAGTCCTTTGTGTACCCCAGTCCGTTGTGATACCAATGTCTATTTCGTTACTTTTTTTAGTTTTTGTTAAAAAAATACTTAAAAATGATTTTTATACACTATCACTTGGTAATATGTGTTTATAAATAAGAGTTTAACTCACTAATACAGTGACTAAAAGAAAATATTATTGGTATTGTTTTTTTAACAAAGAATCGGAATGGTTTCTTTTAAAAAGTAACATAAATATTTAAAAAAAAGCATACAATTTTTAATAAAAAATAAAATAAAAAATTGGAGTCAAAATTTTGTGAACTAAGTACATTTTATTTCAAATTATTTTTATAACAACTTTTTTCTATTGAATTAAATTTTGAATTTCAAATTGCTAACACAGTGGAGATATAAATGTAAGTAAACAAAACTCTAAACATTTATAAAAATCCAACCAAAAGTCAATTTAAGCAAAAAAAATGTTTGATCTTCATTTTCCTGAAAGCGGGTGTTTCTTGAAAATGACCCAATTAGTAGACCGGATTTTATGTAAAAAGTCAATACTTGGTCGTTTGATCAAGTTTTATTTTACTTATAGTACCTTTTTTAATTTTTGCATATTTTTTACCTTTAAGGTACTTTTTATGATTTTATTATATTATTAATGATAATAAAAATTAAAGGGTCGGCTTTACGTTGTAAGTTGCGTTACAATGAAGTATTTACGTGAAAGAATCCATATGTCATATTTTGTGTTTTTCCATTGTATATCCTGTTTTTATACTACAAACTATTATATAATTTTTACCATTTTTTAACTTTTAAAGTAAGTTGTAAATGCTGATATGCCGTAAGAATCTTTTTTAGCTTAACTTTTTTTATGAATCGTTTATTTTATTTTACATTTACTTAACACTTGTTTACTTATTAAACTTGTAAAAAAACGAAAAAAAAAAGTATTACTATTTATACTATTACTAAAGTATTATTATAACATAAAATTAAATCTTTTATTGCCCAACAGATTCATCCATATATCGCTATATTATGTTACTAAAACTACAAGAATATTGCTATTTTAATGTAAAAAAGTCCTACCTAAAATAAGAACCTAATTTAGTTACCTTTTTAATAACCTAAAAGTCCGGGCCTTACTGATTATAGCTATTAGTCGTAAACATAAAAATGAGTAAAACTAATCATAAACAGTTTTACTGTATTTTTTATGTAGAATATTTCAGCTCTTAAGATGGAACGAGATAAAATAATACTATAATATATTTAATAACAATGGCCGCACATGTATAACGTCTTTTTTTTAAGTTGTCTATTTTGTAAAAAATAACAAAATTTACAAGTTATAAAATAAAGTTGAGTGTCATTTATTTTACCTTAAAGAACCATATGTGCCAAGCGTTAAATTCCTATAATCCGGATCATAAAAAAAGTATACAGAACTGACACATCTAGGTAAAATATCTATTACTCCAACAGCAATAAGCTTGTCATCCATCCAATACTGCTGATGAAAAGAACCAAAACCTGGTTCATCAATGCCATTAGGAAATGGCTGGGGCTAAAATATTATTGGATTATATTATAAGACAAGAACTAAATTATATAAATTTTATTCACAATCATATTCTGTAGTATATTAAATGTGTGGGTTTGAAAATGTTTCTATCATAGAAGTGGTAATTGTTTTAGGGTTTCTACTATGTAGAAACTTTCTAGAAAGAATTTTTTTGGTCAAAGGTATTTTTTAAATTATTATTAGACATTTTGATTTCGATATATAAAAAATAAATACTCCAAACTTATGAACCACCATTTGAATTTTTATTTGCGCGTCCTTTTAACCATACACAATTCTCGACAAGTTGTAGTTTAGGTCGGTGGCCAGTTAGAGTGAGAAAGTCGAGTGTAGGAAAGATTTAATAACATTTCACATCAGAACGTATAAGTGAGCACCATGTTATCATAAGGACTGATTATACACGCTTCATGTAAAATAATTCATTTAACTACAAGGTGATTGACTGCTTCCTCCTGAGATCAGCGCTGATCATACGCTCCATGTGAAACAGTTACAGTAAGTACTTTTAATTTTAGGACCATTTTGTTTAAATTAGGTTCAATATAGATATTGAATTTGAAAATTTTAATTTTAATTTAATTTTCTTGCTAATACTACATAATAAATTTGAATCTTATTTGTTTCTTACCACATTTAAATTTCTTGCCCAAATTACTACTAATTTTTACGACAATGGTAAAATGGTTTAGTCAGTAGTACAATTATTTAAAAAGAAAATTATTCATAATAGTTATTGTGATGTGTTTGTACAGGGTAAACCACATTATGTGTGGTCCACATAAAGTATACTTATCTCAGAAACTAAAGTTAATTTTTTTATATGGACTGCGGCAACGTTGCAAATTTAGGGTTTTGGTTGGTAAATACAGTTGTCAAGTTGGTCGCATTGATTAAAACAAACTAAGCTAGTTATAAATCTAATTGTGGTTATGTATAAATTACTGTAGATTACATTGTGCAGTTGTCAAGTTGACTTGTCGAAATTCGTAGTTAAAAAATGCAATTAATTTTACTTTAGTGGTGCTTGGATGAGTAAAATCATATAAAAAAAGTAGTTAAATATAGGTTGCTTTACGGCCCAGAAGAGAAAGTATTCCTAGCGGATAATAATCTTCGCTTTGAAAAGAATTTATATAAAAGAAATTAAATTTTTTTGTGAACGTAAATGTTGTCCAATGGTGAATAATGTGAAAATAATGTGTGATGTAGGTAATATTTATAAAACCAAATTCGTTACTTTTTTACTCCAAATATCTTCATAAGGCGATGTACTGTTTCTTCAATTGTAGCATTTGGCATAATTTAATCAAAATGAAGTTTTGCCTTCAAAAGGGCTTTTACATTCGTTGCTATTATTTTTGGCATAATTATCATTTTATTTATAATTGACAATTAAATTATCAATAATAAATATTATTGTCAATTTGACATTGTCAAAGTATTTAATTAAATTCTTTAGCAGAAGTACCATTTTTAAATACCAAAAATTCTAAGTCAAACTGGCATAAGCCACCAACCTAACAAAAAAACACGAGTCCAGATAAAAAAAATGAACTGTACTGGAGAACAAAAATTCTTGTAGTAATTTTTTTTTAATTTTAAAATTTTATTTATAAAGGGTGTTTGGTTTTCCCTGGAACAATACCAAAATTCTTATTTTAAATAGAACCTGGTCTTGTTGCATTTTTGGATTGGAGATTCCAATTTGGAATCTACCAGATGGTAATAATTTTATTGTAAAATATTATTCAGGGTGTTTTCTACTAATAAAAAAGTGATACTTCATAAGATAAAAAATAATATTGTTTACTTTTTATTTTTAACTTTAAGCATTTAAACATTTTAAGAATATTTGTTAAATCTTTATTTACTCAAAAGGTACTAAAATATTCTAAACACATATATTTACAAAGTGTGTAATTATTAATATTTCATAAAATATAATTGCGAATCAAATTTTATTTTGCATAGGAAAGTGTTTAATAATACCTCTAAAGGGGAGTCTACTAAAAATTGGGTAAATTGCATTTCATCACATTCACTTAGTGATTCATTGTGTATAACATTTTGGTATTTTGCATATAAATTTAGGGTTTCTTTAAAAGTTGATGATTCTTTTGACATGGACTCAAGCTTTATCTACAAAAACACTGAATTTATAATTTGGATTACAATTAAAATCAGATTTAAAATAGTTATTCTTAAGCCCTTTCCTTTACAAAAACCACCAAAATACATGCAAAATTAAACATTTTACCTGTAAAGGAGTTGTAACTAAAAATCGCGTAAAACTCGCCAACGTGATTTTTTCTAAAGGTTCATTATGAACTAACGTCTGATATTTTCTAAACAATTCCATTTCAGTCCCCCAATTATATTGTGGATCACTTGAGGAAACTAATTTTAACTGGGAAAAGGAATAACTATTTTAACAGAAATAATTTAAAAATAATTTCAAAAAACCTACTGTTAGTTTATGTTTAGTTTCATCAGGCAAACTCTCCATAAATTGTTCTAAGGTTTTTTGATCATTTGTGTTGTTCAATTTTTCCAAGGACATTCCTCTTTTAAGTAATTTTTCCTTTTTTCTTTCCAATCTTAGTTGTTTAGCTTTTTTACAAGGTGGTTTACTGGGATCAATTCCTTGCCCTTCCTTACAATTACCTTTTTTAGATTTTGTTGTATCTTTGGCTGACTGACTTAATATCACTATAACATAAAACATATTTGAATTAGTGTGATAATTAGATTTTTACCGCACTCAATTGATGTGTTTTATTATATCTATAGCTGGAACTAAATGTATCATTAATGGTCAAATAGTGGTGGCAAAACTGTGTATTTATTAACGAAAAATTAGAAGAATAAAATTTGGAAAGATTATTTTCTTTCCTAAAAAATTAAATGTACCGTAAACACGGGTGACTTTGCACCCCGCGGGTGACTATCCCATTTATGAAAAATCTTTTCGCGCTCCAGAAAATTAACATTTATAATTTGTTGGTCTAAACCTGTCAATTGAGCGATTCTATTAAGTTTATATTACAGGAAAATCAGTGTTTTAAAGAAAGAAATGGGATTTATTACACTTTAAAATTGTATATACATGTATATCATCAGTGCATATACATGTATATACATTAGGGTGGCCCAAAAAAAAAGAATATTTTTTTTCTTCTCGTCTCTTGTGAAAATATGTTGGTTTGTCATGTTTTAAGAGCCCTGTCAAAGGATCAGCACCATTAAAAATTTTTTAGGGGTCGCTCAAGATTTTTAAAAATTACCAAAATCGTCAAAAATTGGATTTTTTTTTATTTTATTTTTTTTTCTCGTTCCGATATTATTTTTTAATTTAAAAATAATAATGATTCTGAAAATTTCAAATCGATATTTTAATTTCTAAAGGTCGCTCAAGATTTTTTTAACTTTCAAAGTAAAGTATTTTGAATGTTTTCGAGCGACCTCTGAATATAAATATCAACGAACTTTTAGCGACCTTTAGAAATCAAAATATTGATTTGAAATTTACAGAATTTTTATTATTTTTAACCTAAAAAATAATATCGAGACGAGAAAAAGAATTAAAATAAAACAAAAATCCAATTTTTGACGATTTTGGTAATTTTTAAAAATCTTGAGCGACCCCTAAAAAATTTTTAATGGTGCTGATCTTTTGACAGGGCCCTTAAAACATGACAAACCAACATATTTTCACAAGAGACGAGAAGAAAAAAAATATTCTTTTTTTTTGGGCCACCCTAATATACATGTATATCATCAGTGCAAAACTCTTAGAAATACACGCGTTACAATTTCTATATTATGCGCAATCCATTGGAATGATGATCCTTGGTTAACTACAGGTCGATTTTTTATTTTTTTTTTATCGGTAATCCCTTGCAATAGATATATGTCGCTGCTAACACGTGTCTAATAAAATTAAAATATAATATTGAATTCATTTTATATGGAAAATACACTGTGAGACAAAGTAACCCGCAACCAGGGGGTAACTTTGCACACCCAGTTTTTAATTTTTATTTTTGAAACTCAGCCCTATGTAATATTATAACATGTTATACAAAATTTAATGTTTATGATTGTTAAAACCACAAAAATTTTAAGCTTAAGTTTGAAAGTGAGCTAAAGCCACCCGTGTTTACAATAATGGAAAGATTATTTTCTTTCTTAAAAAAATTAAATGTACTTAAATGTATAATGAATGGTCCAATAATAGTGGTAAAACCGAGGGGTCAACCATCCTAGCCTTTACACATCTAAAAACGGTTTTTAGGGGAACAAAATAAAAAAAAAATGAGCCAGTGACTTAATATTGTCTGACAGTTGTATTGAATCCTATAAAAGTCCAAACAAAGTAAAAATTAATGCACCCACAAAAACAAAAACATCCTGAAAAAAACATAGATATCTTGTGAACATTTGCAAATTAACTTTCTATAATTTTTAGTTTTTAATAACATACCTGTATTTAAACCATTATTAACTAGTTCTTGTTCCATTGTAGGGGCATCCCCCATACTATTAGTATCAACAGTTTTTTCAATTTCTTCATCTACTGCATTACTTATAAAACTTTTATCAGTTATCACAGAACTTCCTTCCTTGATAAAAAAATCATTAACCCCATCATCATCATTTACATTTTCATTAGAATTATTTGAAGCATTTAAAACCCCATCACACAAGTACTTGTTGAACTTTTTCAGCACCTTTTTTTGTGACTTTGATAAATGCAAATTTAAAGCAGTGCATCTACAAATTAAAAAAACATGTTATTATCTTTAATGCAAAATATTTTAAACTATATAACCTTATTGTATACTGAGGACAACAAGTTTCATTCATGGTTGGTTTATAGCAATATTTCCCTGACCTTCTCCATCCTCTATCTATTAGGTCTTGATAATCCTCTACATTCATTAACTCGACCCACATTCCTAAAAATCCCCAAAAATTATACAATTAATAAAAATGTACTCCTATTATACAACACAAAATATTTACCATAGGACACACTACCGTGTTCAATTTTACAATATCCACATTTATGCTTTTCTCTTTCGGCATACCATTGCACTATTGTATTTTCCTTTAAATTAATACTCATTTTTTAAAAATGTTATAATATAATTTCAGATAAATAACTTGGCATCGATCTGTCATATGAAACAACAGCTGCAATGCACTGCTACCAATGTTATGAAATAAAAATAAATAATTTTAAGGTAGCATTTTTAGAACAATTTACAAGATTATTATGTAAAATTATTAAATAATAATAATATTTACTTGGTTTTATTGCAAGTAGGTATGTTGTGTTGACAATAATCATAGTTATTAATTTGTTTTATATAAAAAGGAAATGTGTAATCTGGGTTGCCTATTATGTTGGTAATAGTATACGAGGGAAATACGATTTGATTTATACTGCTTACGAGGGTTTAACATTAAAGTTAAACATTTGAAATCAAATTTAGATCGTATCAAACATTGAAATGACAAAATGTACACCAAATTTATTGTGTTGTGCTTACTTTGTATATTTATAGCATTATTTCGAAATAGCAACATATAAACAAACTTAAAAAATAATGTATTCGAACTACGTACGATAAAAAATGCAAATGCAACAATTTCCTCAAATCGCAAGTAATATAAAATGAGGTCGAGTTATCAAAATAATGATAAAAATGCCTATAGTTGTAATAAATAGTATTTTTTACCTCGTATGTGACAAAAGTAATATTTAAACGCGCGCTGGCGGCGACACTCTTGGATCAATAATAGCTAGTACAGTAGGCCATGGGGGCGGTTAAACGTCAAAGACGTTCGGATGTTTAATAAAAGTTCTTTGTTTTGTTTGATAAGCATAAATAAATAATATGGTTATTGTGAACATTGTTGACTAGTTCAGATATAATTGAATTTGTTGGAATAATTAGGTGAGTTATATTTTTATAAATTCTTAGAAAATGGACATTTTCTTGTAAAATGGTTTAAACATGCAATATGTCTAGACTGAAAAAAGTTGAAATATCAAATTTTTAAGAAATATTAATTATGTACCTACATACAGGGTGTTTCAATAAAAACTCCCAGGCCAATTATTTCGAAAACTAAAAGTGACATTTAATTTCTGTAAACGCCAGTTTTTAGCCTCTATGATTGGCTTCACAACTGTGTAAAAAATGTGTTTGAATAATGCAAGATGTAGGTGGCGCCACTGTGCAAAAAAATTTTTCGATGGCAGGTACTTTTAAATTAATTTTTGATCAAATTATGTCCCATACAAATTTTTGATAAATCCGACATGAACGGAGATATTTGGGGTTAACTTTTTTTTATAATTTTAAAGAGTATTTTAATTAGAAATATTTTTAATATTCTTTAGCAGAATGTTAATTTAATTTTGGTAATGATAATTTTGGTGATAAAACGCTCGTATAGCGCTAACTAGATTAAAAATATTAAGTCCAGTGACGTCTCAGGGGGCCCTTTAACAAATATTATTGGAAAAAAATAATACGTAATTTTAATATATTTTTCGGAATAAGCAACTAAAATATCCTTTTTTTGTCTGTTGAATTGTTTTTATATCTTACTTCGTTTTCGAGAAATAAAAATAAAACCATTTGAAAAACAAAACCATAAATAATAATAATAATAATACGCTATATTTTTTGTTTAAAAAATAAAGGTAAAACATTAAAACATAATAAAATAAAAGGATGTTTTAAATTTTATGAAAGAACTGGTGGGAAATTATACAAAATTATTAATGAAAATTAGAACAATACCAAAAACTAACTAATGAGGTCGAATGAGGTGTTCAAAATTATTGCCGTTTTCATACAAACGCATAGCAAATCGATATAATAATTCGCTTCTGCAAACTCTCAATAGTGTATATCGATTAATAGCGGCTATAGAAGCATACATTTTGTTGTAAAGGTCAGCCATGTCTTCTATTGGTTCCTTGTAGACATCATTTTGTAAGCAGCCCCATAAATTAAAGTCCATCGGAGTAAGATCAGGGGACCTTGCTGGCCATCTAAGATCCCCATTTGTGCTGATCACTTTTCCTGGAAACGTCACATTTAGATGATTTATTACGAAATTGCTATTGTGTGCTGGGGCACCGTCTTGATGAAACCACATAGTATTTACGTTAATTCCTAAATTTTGTAACAGCAAAGGGAGATCGGTTTGCAGAAATTGTAAATAACGAACTGAAGTTAAATTTTCATGGTACAAATAGGGCCCGACTATGTAACCATTTACAATACCGCACCAAACATTTACCCCAAATCGGGTTTGAAATTTAGTCTGTCGCAACCAGTTAGGATTTTCCTGGAACCAGTAGCGTTATTAATTACTCCATTATTGTGATTCGTCACTCCACATAATTTTGTTTAATAAATTTGGATTTTCTTTCAAAAGAATATGAAAATGTGCCAAAAAGTTTAATCTGCGCTGGTTATCTCCTGGTTGTAGATGATGCACTAAATGAACCTTGTATGGAAAAAACTTATTTCCTTTTAGGATTCTGCGACACATCTTTTAATTTTCGTAATGACGTTTGTGGGCTATTTTCTACTGTTTGGAGAACTAAAGCTACATTTTCGTCAGTCGTAACCCTCTTCCTTCTTGGAACCTTTCACTTTTTAAAACTACCATATGTAGCTAAGTTGGTACACAAAGCTACAAAAGATTTGCGATCGGGCGTTGGTCTTTCTGGAAAACGAGCTCGATAGCAGCGTACAGCTTCTGAAGCATTTTGATGGCATTCTCCATAAACTAAAACCATGTTCAATTTGTTTTGATTTGTATGGTGAACCATTTTTATTTTAGAAATGTAGAAATTGCTTACATTGACACTGACATTGAGTAAAGTGAAGAAAAATTTACTTGATGTTTCTAACATTCATTTGTTTTTATTTAATGACTATTGTTTTCCAGAGATATGCAGTGAAATGGTTTTATTTTATTTCTCGAAAACGAAGCAATTCAACAGACAGAAAAAGGATATTTTTAGTTGCTTATTCCGAAAAAAATATAAAAATTACCAGAAAATCAGTGGGGTATTATTTTTTGCCAATAATATTTGTTAAGGGGCCCCCAGAGACGTCACTGGACATAATAATTTTAATCTAGTTAGAGCTAAAATCACTGAAATTATCATTACCAGAATTAAATGAACATCTGCTAAAGGATATTATAAATATTTATAATTAAAATACTCTTTAAAATTATTAAAAAAAAAACTTAACCCTAAATATCTCCGATCATGTCGGATTTATCAAAAATTTGTATGGGACATAATTTGATCAAAAATTAATTTAAAAGTACCTGCCATCGAAAAAATTCTTTGCACAGTGGCGCCACCTACATCTTGCATTATTCAAACACATTTTTTACACAGTTGTGAAGCCAATCATAGAGGCTAAAAACTGGCGTTTACAGAAATTAAATGTCACTTTTAGTTTTCGAAATAATTGGCCTGGGAGTTTTTATTGGAACACCCTGTATACTAAAAGAAATAATATAATTTTATAGATTTAATAAACAGTAAATGGAAATATCTTAATAATATATATAACATCTTTTAAATCATTATTATTTTCAAAATTTATTTTACTTAGATAAAATGTTTTTTATTTTGCGCAAATATAAAGAAACGTTTCATATCAAAAGTAATTTTAAGGATCAAATGTGTCCCTAGGTGCCGCAGGGGCAAGAGGGGGCAGTTGCCACCCCGATAAAATTAAAATCCAATACAACCCTATGCAATTTCAAGCTCATTTAAATATTAATATTAAAATTTAAACATGGACACTTGAAGCATTGCATTTTTTTGCTCCCCCTGGATTATTTTCTGCCGGCGCCCATGAATGTGTCTGTAATTTTCAATGGAAGAAGAAATTATGTCCACGCTATTCGATTTATTAAATATGTGTTTAGCTTTAATAAACAATGATTTAAATATTAGCCTTCTGTGTATTTGATAATTCAAGAAAGATATTTTATAGTCGAATGCGTCTGTTATTATTTGTTTTTTTCTATAAACCTATAGCTATGGCTATAGCTGCATCTAAACATGTTTACTTAGATGTTTTTTTACAAATTGTGTTTTAAAGACTTTTTATACAATGTTTTTGAGGTAATATTTACTATGTGCCTTTAAGCTACAATTAATAGGGGAAATTTTTTCCTCGTGGGTACCCAACAGCGAATTATACTGGAAATTTTTTGACGTTTATAATGACAGAATATTTTTTTGACAATCTGGTTTTTATTTGTTTACATGATAATTTTGATCCATTTCCATTACAAAGTTTAGATGTTTTCTATATTCGTTGGACACCTCCTTTCTTCTTAATGGCGAAAATGCACGACTTGAAATAAATTAAATGTCTATGTCTAATGAAATATATATAATATTTAGACACTATTCTATTCACCTTTTTTTCCATTTAGCACTTTGAGTTTTGAATAGTTAAGATGCAAATATTCGTGAACAATTCAAAGCAAATTTTCTTTCTTCAAGTAGGAGCCACAATCCTCTAATAATGCGGGTAAATAAGTCATTGCACGATGATTGATCATTACAGCAGACAATTTCACATTTTTTTACGTCGTGCCGCTTGACAGCTTCAAAACTGAAATAACTTTTAGGTTGGGGTTGACTTAGTTGCCATGGTAACTAAATAATCAAGTCAAGGTCAAGTTAAATCAAAAAATAAATTTTAATTATTTAAACACAATTTGGTGTGGAATTTTCTTACCGAATACCACACGAGGTCAAATTAAATCCGGAAATTTTTTCTCCCTCATGAATATTTTTAGAAAATTATCCCTCGTCTTCGACTCGGGATAATTTTCAAAATATTCATGAGCTCGAAAAAATTTCCGGAAATAATTTGACCTCTAGTGGTATTACTAGTGAAAATTCCACACCTGTAATTTTTAACCAATCAAAACGTGTATTTTTGATAGATCACCATGGCAACGGTTGAATTTTAGTGGAAATTTTTTCCTCGTGGGTACCCAACAGCGAATTACCTATACTGGAAATTTTTTGACGTTTATAATGACAGAATATTTTTTTGACAATCTGGTTTTTATTTGTTTACATGATAATTTTGATACATTTCCATTACAAAGTTTAGATGTTTTCTATATTCGTTGGACACCTCCTTTCGAAAATGCAGGACTTGAAATAAATTAAATGTCTATGTCTAATGAAATATATATAATATTTAGACACTATTCTATTCACCTTTTTTTCCATTTAGCACTTTGAGTTTTGAATAGTTAAGATGCAAATATTCGTGAACAATTCAAAGCAAATTTTCTTTCTTCAAGTAGGAGCCACAATCCTCTAATAATGCGGGTAAATAAGTTATTGCACGATGATTGATCATTACAGCAGACAATTTCACATTTTTTTACGTCGTGCCGCTTGACAGCTTCAAAACTGAAATAACTTTTAGGTTGGGGTTGACTTAGTTGCCATGGTAACTAAATAATCAAGTCAAGGTCAAGTTAAATCAAAAAATAAATTTTAATTATTTAAACACAATTTGGTGTGGAATTTTCTTACCGAATACCACACGAGGTCAAATTAAATCCGGAAATTTTTTCTCCCTCATGAATATTTATAGAAAATTATCCCTCGTCTTCGACTCGGGATAATTTTCAAAATATTCATGAGCTCGAAAAAATTTCCGGAAATAATTTGACCTCTAGTTGTATTACTAGTGAAAATTCCACAACAGTACCACTACTACTTAACCAATCAAAATGACAGGTCACCATGACAATACACGCTTGAGTAGGTAACCGACAGCGAATTAAATCGGAAAGTTTTTGACATAATCACAGAATATTTTTTTTTACAATATTAGTATTAATTTCTTTATTTAATTTTGATTTCAATTACATAGTCAAAATGTTTTCTGTATTCTTCTGCCACCTCCTTTCTTCTTAAGCCGAGACAAACTGCGTCCGTCGGTACCGGGTTCGATCCCCGGTCACAGCATTGGGTGTTGTGCGTGTAAAAGTCGCTAGATGAGTGCAACTGTACCATTTTAAAAAGGGGTTGCAGGGGTGATTTATTGAGGACCGTGGTTCGGATTCCACGTTAAACAGTAGGTCCCGCGGAAGGACCGAACCTCCTAGATAGCACACAACCTCTTGAAGATATGTCTGAAAGACGTCTTTTAATAGAAGTCTTAAAGATATCTTCATTTAAGGTTTATGTGATAATTGGGACGATTTGTAATGCGCTTCGAGAAAACGAAAAATTTCGAGATTATGATTATTTTAAGTAGAGTTAAGAAGTACAAAGGTACGAATTTAAGTAAAGCATAACTACACAAACACCTATGCTACGAAATTTTACAAGGCGATTTAAGTTCGCGTAGCATAGGCGTTTGTGTAGTTACGCTTAAAAAAGTCATAGCATTGTCAATTTTTGAGATAAACAAATTATAATAATTAATAATATCATATAAATAGCAATAAAAATCTATGATTTTTTATAGAACAACATTTACTTATCACGTTTTGACATCTGCACGTGTACATATGTGCTGCTTATATATAAGCCCAAAACATATATTCCATATCATTATTTATTAAAAATTATCTATCTATCATTGATAGATCTAAATAATATAATAATTATATAATTATTATAAATAATAATAATAATACTTTAATAATAATTATTAATACTTTATTGTCCAACAGATTTACATCCAATTAAAGGACAAAATTATAAAATAAAGGTTTATATGTACATAAAATAAAACATTTACACAATAATGATACTCTTGTAAAAGTAATCAGCTTCTTTTAATAATAAAGTTAGCGAAGAACTATTAATGTCAATTTTTGAAGATATTTCGTTAATATTTTTCATCATGACTTGAACTGGAGATTTCAACAAAACATTAGTACGGGCATCAGGGCCGAGCCTAGGGTATCTGCCGCCCGGGTGCAAGAATTAAATTTGCCGCCCCCATTAATGTAAAAAATTAGGTTGTCGGTAGGGAAGGAGTTCATAATTTATCATTCTCAATAAACATATAACAAATTTTATAGTAAAATAACAAAGTATTTATTAACAAATACATAAAAGAATAAAATAAAAATACATTCAGGAAAAAAACACAAAAATAATGAAACTAAACTAAAAAACTAAAATCTACTTTTCTCGCTTTTTTAATAGCAAATTCCCCAATCAAGTCGCCTACATCCAAGTTGTTAGAAATATCTTCTTCAATACTTATAATTGCTAAATTTGAAAGCCTGAATTGACTCATATTGGATCTTAAATAGGTCTTAATTAGTTTTAATTTCAAAAATGACCGCTCTCCATGGGCAACAGTAACTGGCATCGTCAAAAATATTCTTAAAGCTACAAATAAATTCGGAAAGATGCCTTTTAAATCATTAACTAGTTTTTAACTTAAACGCATTAAAAGACAAAAGAAACTTCTATGTTTGCATCCTATTTGCCTCACGTTAATAGAAAAACTAAAAATTGCTGAAATACGCAGCCGTCAAATCGGAAGAAATTATGCCTTAACTTAACAGTTCAGCTTGTAAACAATATCACGTGGTACACAGCGCGCGATTTGATTGGTTTCCCGTAAGCCCGCTTCCGTAAAACATGAAACTTGACGAACTCGAAGCGGACGAACGGAAAGCGAAGCGGGCGGGCGGCAATCTATAAACCGGGCTTTAAGAAAATTGTCATCATCATTTTTTGTGGCTATCGCGCGTTCGGTTATGTCTTTTTTATCATTGCCGCCTGACAGCAATTTTGGCATTGTTTTTATGTGTAGAATAAAAACGATGATTCCTTGAAACGCCGACATCAATAAAACGCAAGTGATTTTTAGAAAGTTTTTTGCATATTGCAAGGTGGCTTTTTTATTCCTGATAATATGATACAATTTTTTGATGATATTTTGCCGCTGTGTTAGTGCCGCCCGGGTGCCATGCACCCCTTGCACCCCCGGCACGGCTCGGCCCTGACGGGCATTATCTGCCCTAAAAGTTAATTTAGTCCTAGAGATTAATATTTTAAAAATATATTTTTTTTACGAAATAAATATAGTAATAAAAAGTAATATTTCTATTTATTAATATATTAAATATTAAATATTTATAAATATTTGCTTAAATTGTTATCATAAATGCAAATTTTGACATGAATTCGTTTTAAAAAGTTATTCATAGTTAAATACTTCTTAAGTAGGTGAATACTAATACTAAATTATGCATTATTATATTATTTTTAAAAAAGTAGGTACATATTTATAAACAAAAAAGTTTAAAAATATTAAAATTAAAAAAATTAAAATAAAATATTAAAAAAATTATTCAATCATTGGTAAAGAAATTTTAATTTTGAAAAAGTGTGTTTGAAAATATTTCTGCTTGTGTAAATTTAAAAAAAGTATTGATACGACAATGTTATCAACACAACAAACGCATTTTTTTCAATTTTATTCTATTTTTAGTTTCTGTTGTATATCCCAACGAGTCGTAAAAATAGATAGCGTTCCGTAAACCCCGTGATCTATAAAATTTACTACTACTTTTCATTTGGCAAAGGGCCAACACACGTTGTCCCTTTCATTACAGAATCAATAATGTCGACGAGCCCAAACCAAAGTGCTTGCAAGTCACTGAACTGACGTACATTTTTTCTGTTCCAGATTGTTACAAAATGCCCTTTACGGACATCTTTCGAAGAGCATCTACTTACATTTTGCGCACTGAAGAGGAAATGTTGAAGGAGGAGCCTTACGAGGATAATGAAATTTTGTTCTGCAAGAATAATGTTTGCGTTCATCCCCCTGCCACCGCTAGACAGGATACCGATATTCTACATAATCCTGGTTATTTAACTATCACAACTAAAGTTTTTGTTGATCAATACACAGAAAGCAAAAGACCCACGTTGTTTTTGACTTGGCTACCCAACGCAGCTTTGTCAAAATACCCGACCACGTTACAAAACTCATTAAGTTTAAAAAGTTACCATAAACAAACTAGCATGGAGAGTTTGGCTTCGAATGATTCCAGTAGTAGTTTTTACGAAAGACCTGCTAGTATTGAGTTGAAAAGTACAAACCCCTTCCTTAACTTCGACGAAAAATTAGACCGGGATACAAGCGATTCTATATCTTCGGAAGATAGCGACAAACAAGGAACGATAATCAACATAAACGTCGATATATCCAACCCAGAAATAGAAATTATAACCACACCAGATTCAGTTAAGGATATACACGAACATTTTGAATTCTCTCGGTCAGCATCTATCACCTCCAGTGACAGCCAGTTTCACTGGATTACAACTCCAGAGTTCTTAGCACAAAAACACAATTTAATTTTCCCAGAGTCAACCAATAACTCACCCATATTGCCATCGAAGAGAAACAACCACGTGTGTAGAAGATTCAGTGTGGATTTAAGTCAAATGAGATCTCTTAGATTGTTTTTTAACGATAACAGTTGCACATGTGGACAGCTAGTTGTTGCGTCAAGGGAGTCTCAATATAAAATCTTGCATTTTCATCATGGAGGACTAGATCATCTTGCTCAAGTGTTACACCAGTGGCACTCGTTGCTGCATAACATAAAATTAGCAAAAGGTAATTCTTAAATAATAACTTTTAAACTATAAAATCGAATTTTATAAACGTTAAAAGCTTTACTAAATGATAATCGATTATTTTAATAAATCGTTTACTTTTGAAAAATGTCCTCAAAATGAGCCTCAGAACGTTGAGCGAATGCTCAGAATATAGGTAATTAAAAATTAATCCCCTAGGTATTTATCTTGAATCAAAATTTAATTGATTAAAAATTTTGCGTTCCTCGGTTTATTGATCCACTTATTTTTGCTCTATAAATCGGATGGTAAATTGTTTTCGTTACCTTTACCTAAACTATTAATACTATTTATCTTACCTATTTGTAAGACTTTTTAAAAGGTCATGTAAAAGTTTATTGGATTGGGATGACAAAATAAACAAACATTTAAGTTGTGTATGTATATTTTTATACTCCTACCTTTAAAAAGCCCTTTATCGTACATGGAAACATGCATGTTTCCATGTCACTAAGTGACCTTTTAAATAAACATTGACAAGTTGCGGCTTTATGGCGCTTTAGTCACGGACTGAAGTTAGCAACAGATTTTTAGTCACGGGCTGAAGTTAGTGTTAAGTTAGTTTACAGTTGTCAAATGTCATAAAGTCGTTACAATAAAGTGATTTTAATACTAAATGTGAAAATTATTTTATTATCTCAATACAAGAATACAAAAGTATTAAATAGTTTCTCAACGCCAATATTTGAAAAGGCACTCCACTGTAAAGTCCTCATAAAACATTTTTTTTTACTTTCACTGTGAAAAACTGTCAATTTTCAAGAAATACATTTCGATTTATAACCTTTATAATCTGTGTTTATAAAATATAAAAATGTGACATTTGACGGTGACACACAGATTCCCCTATTGTTTCATAGATGGCGCTCTATACAAATTTTTGATTTAAATCATTTTAAGATAATAATAAGTATTTGTCATAGAAAAAGTTTATTATACACCTCGTTTATAAACTTTTCTATACACTCATTAATTTAAGCACTCGCTCGCAAGCTCGTTCGTGCCTAAATTAAATTCGTATATAAAATGGCGTTTATAAAACTTGATACATAATATACTATTATCTATTGTTATTAAAATCTAGTCATTATAATACAATATAAGATTAAGTATAATATAAGATTTATTATTAAATAATAAAACTCCATAAAGCTAAAATGTAATTATGTCAGTTGATACATAATATACTATTATCTATTGTTATTAAAATCTAGTCATTATAATACAATATAAGATTAAGTAAAATATAAGATTTATTATTAAATAATAAAACTCCATAAAGCTAAAATGTAATTATGTCAGTTGAACCTAATCTAAAAATGATGTGACAGAATCTTAAAAAAATATTTTATTAAATGCTTGCAAAAAAAATAATGTATAAAACCGACAAGAGCTTATTAATTTGCCCCGCAAATGCTAAAGATAGAATTTTATTGGTCCGATTTTTACCCTGTGGCCTTTTAGTAGTTTAAAAAGTGATATTTTTATTAAAAAATTATTGCAGAATGGTACCTATACAGAGGAGAAATCAAAGGAAATTGATTTTTTGTTACAGCGCTGCAGCGCCGTATATAACAAATATGATAAAATGTTTTTTAATCGAATGATTCGAATCTGCATTCAAAAAATAGTGTTTTCTATTGGAAATTGTAAAGTTTCCCCATTCCCTTCCTATAAGGAAAAAATATGGGGACTATAGTTTTGGTATTAATTTATTTCCCCCCTCGTAAAAGGCATCTGTGTCATCTCTGTCATTCTTACAGCTATCGACAAAGTTAAACCGTGCGTCTAAACACAGTATACCTATGTAATTTATATAATGTAAAAATATCAAAAAAACACATTTTCTGCTGTGTTTTGGTATGAAACAGCCGAGATGTCGCTAAATTTGAAATGACAAGGTTCCAAGTGCATCTGCTCTGTTAGGCAAATATGCCTTATCTGCAATATTTAATATTGATTGATTGATAAATCATTTTTGCTTAACAGTGTAGCTGTACTTAAAACCTTGTCATTCCAAGATACAGCTTTGAAAGCTGCTATTTTTATATCTACTTAATTATAACGATAACAAATAAAACAAGATAGTAATACTCATAAATAAACTACGACAGTTTTAGCATTGAATAAGAACTTTTATCTATTTTGCGTTCATAATGACTTCTTATAACACCGCTTTCGGTGCTTTAATAAGATACTTTATCCCATCCAAAAGTTTGATTTTATAGGTTGGCTATACTTTAAACAGCATAATATTTTGCATATTAGTTATATTTTTATGATTTTTCTAGTACTTACGAGACTTTTTTGGCAAAAAATGATGTTTAGCACCAAAGAAAATCCTTTTTTTCTTCTTTAACATTAACAGCCGCTTATTGTAAATAAGTAAATTAAGGACGGCATGGCCACTGTCAAACCAATGACTGTGATACCAAATATCTAAAGTAAAATTCGACCAAATTAAATTTAAGGTATAAAATTAATTTTTTTTATAGAATTTTTGCAAAATAGATAAAATAACATAAAGAACTCATGTCATAAGACCTTTTGTCTTATGAAATTCGTTCTTTAATATACTATTATTTAACGCTTTTATAAAAGCGTTAAGCTCTTTAATGCATAATTTAAGATTTTTCTTAATTTTTTACGCGCCGTCTATTATTCTTATCCTTTTAATTTAATTTAAATTAAGTATAATTGGTTGATATGGCCGATTTGGAAAAGTAATTGTAAAAATTATTTGATCCACATAAATTTTTCTTTATTAATTTCTATTTGGTAGACGAAATAACGAAATCAAACTCTTCTCTGCCTGCCGTTTCAAATTTTTAAGATGTAGAGCTGAGGAGGTGACCGCTCTCTATGGAGTGCATCGTAAACTTCGTCACAGTCTAACAGCCAGCCTCCACTGTATTCCTCGTGTTCGGTCGGCAGCGGTCGTGAGAACTAATGAATGTATTTTGAATAGCAACGGAACCTTCTAACGCGTAGCCTCCTCTGTGACGTAGTTCACTTTGTAGTTCGCAGTACAGTTTTTTTTATTTATTACGAAAATACATCCTTGTAATAATAATTATGATTGTAAATTTAATTACAAATTCACTAATAAATAATGAAATAGCTATCTAGTTCAAATATAATACTTATTTAAATAAAATAATTAAAGTAAGATGGTTAAAATTTTTGAGGAGGTTAAGCGTATATGTAAAATACTAAAGCTATCTGCGTATTTTGTTTTTGAAGACAAATTACCTATTAATTCTAAAAATAGAAAATATTTTAATTTACCTATTTTTTAATTATTTGCAAATAATGTAGATAATAAACTTATTAAAAAAAGATTGAGACAACAAGTACCTAGAACCTAGATAATTATAGTACCTACCTATACTAGTTAATAGTGTTGTATTTACAACATTTTTTTTTAAATCATATATTTTAAAAAAGGATCTGGAGAATAATGCTTTAAATATTTGCAAAAATCTTATTAAATGGTATTAAAGGTTTATTTATAAATTTAATATCAAAATTTTCAGACGAATAACTTTCTTGTAGGTATATTTTTCTTTTATTGGTTAAGTTACTGAAGTTAAGTAAAAAATAAATATTCTATAAATATTTGCTGAAATCTTGTTAAATCGTATTTAAGGTTTATAAATTTAATATCAAAATCTTAATATATTCAGACGAATACCCCAGTAGCACAAAATATTGGTTCTATATGGGGCGCGTCTATGCCCAATATTTTATCTGGGGACAATATTGGATTAATTTAGCCGATGTTAGCCATATATCGGCATAAAATGATAATTTAATATATCTTGCCAATGTTTATCCAAGGTTGGTCCTATATTGGCATATTATTTCAGGCCAATATATCATTAACTATAGTCAACGATGCTTTCAGATTTCTAAAAGTGATATGTAACGATACACGTTTGTTTCCAGGATATGTCTATACTAGTGGCGCAGGGTTTTAAGTTGGGGGTTGGCATAACAGACTACCATCCTTATTGTTTATCATCAAATGTGTAACAGGGAGAAAGTTCGAAAAAACCGTTAAAATAATTCGTGGAAAAACTAGAAATTAAGAGTTTCTTAGAAAAGTTTAGAAAGCTTTAACATGTGCAAAATAAGAAATTTTGAAAAGGATTTTAAATGTAAAGTCAAAAACAAGTTTATAGGGTTGTGTTAAAAGAAAATTCCCCTCGAGGCCATAAAACCATAAATCCATATTGCAGACTATCTGTATTTTGCCAAAGCCGCCAAACATATGGCAGCAACACTTTTTTTAAACGAAGCATTTTAAGAACTAGATGAAACGCGTTAAAAATATAATAAAATTAATATAATTAAAGAAAGTAACGAATTGATTCAGTTGAAAACTAAACTTAGAAAAATGGAGATTATAGATTAGAAATAGGAGATTATAGACTAGAAATAAGACGTAAGATTAGGTAGATTGTATTGTAAATATAAAAGCGTGGCTGCTTATTAAAAGATAAGTCTCGATCAGCCAATATAAATTAAGTGTCGATGGATAAAAATCCTAAGCATGGTTTGAACCAAGGGAATGCCCAATAAAATCAAACTCAGTTAATATGATTTAATAACCAGATATAAAAACAGTCGATTCAATCATTAGGCAACCTTGGTTACTTTTAAATCATCGTAAGATTATTATCAAATCTAGTAAATTATAGTTTATCTTGAAGTTGGCGACAATGGCGGAAACTCCGCCCAATGCCTAGTAAAATTCCCACCTTGTTTGTTCCCGACCTTTCAAGTAGCCAAGTTTCCGACTTAAGTCAAAGGTTAACGCCTTCTCCCTTAAGAATTATTGAACTGCTTAGATTAAAACCAATAACCTTTCGCCCTTTCCGGTTGGTATGAGATTTTATGACCTTTTGAACCAGTCAATTTTCTATGACCCTTGCGGGGGGGGAGTTGCCACGATTTTGACCAATGGTCTTTAAGAAT